CCACAACAACTATCAACATTTAGGATTAAATGTGGTTTAATTTGTATTAAAATTTAAGTTAAAAGAACGTTTCTCTTATAAGTATAATGTTTGACTGCTCATAAAATATATGGAAATTCACAAGTTCTAAGAAGTGATAATTTTTATGCAATATATATATATATTATAATATTTATTATCAAATGTTTAAGGTGCACAATAATATAAGTTTTATAAACTATAACATTGGTATTTATAATGGAAAAAAATATGAACTTAAAGTGACAGTAAAATTAATTGACTCATAAGTTACTGCTTATAATGTGCACAAATTCAACTCGTTAGTCGTTACGGTTACGTAACTTAGTTAATAATGACTTAACTTTAACTTTTTAATTCGTTAATGCCCAGCCTTGTCCATACAGGTACCTACGCGTAGCATTAGTTATTTGATTTTCATACTTATTTGTATGTAAAAAAAATTCCATTAAAATATAAAACTCTCAAATATCTCAAAAATATGGACAACATTTATACACGTGTTGGTTTGTGTATTATCATTAACTATTGGGTAATTGTAGATCTACGTATGAAGATGAGAAATTAAAGCATAATAATTAATGTAAAAATATTAATATTAATTAAAACACGGATTTAAATAAATTAAAAAATGTTACGTGAACGTTTTAACATAATATTATGGCAAATACAACAGCTAGGAGTTCAAAAGTTAATATTTTAATTTAAAAATTTAAATTTTCAAGTTTCATAATGATATCATAAATACGAATCAAATTATTATTCTACCAATATGATGTGAAATAGTCAGAATCGACTATATTTTAATATTGATTCCAGAAATTCTTAAAAATTAACTTGATGAAATGTCTAACGATATGGTGATGAATACGCGTTTTACGATACGTACAATTTGAATTTAAAATACCAATTTGTAGATTACTATAAATAAAATTGACAATTCATTGTGATGAAATTAAATTCTGTTGTTTTCAAATCCAGGTACACATAATACGCATATACACAAATAATTGATATAGGTACCTTGTAGGTACCTACTATACTTTTATGTGAAGGTGATGTATCAATTAATATGTATTGTGTCATAATAGTTATAACTTATAATATAGTGGTCAAAATTTCACAAAATATAAAACAAAAGATTTATTTTATATACTAGTGGGGTACCTACTTGGATTAATAAAACATTATTTTTAATTTTGTTAAATAGTTTTAGAAAAATTGCATTTGTTGAAAAATGTGTCGAATACATTAATTTATTTTCTTTAGATATAGTCTCTAATATATCCTCTATGCAAGAAATTCTTTTGATTTAGATCATCTGCAATTTCGTGTAGTTTTTTTTTTTGCTGTGCGAATATGTATTGGTTTTTTTATTATTATTTTATTTTGAATATTTTTGTCAGTTTCAATACTTACTTTTAAAATTAAATGAATTAATATTGTACAATACATTATTGCCATACATTCGCTGATTTTTCTAAAAGCACACAACATGTTCGTACAACTGTATAAGGTATTCAATATTGTTGACCAATTATATATAATGGTTAAAACATAATATTTTCTACGTTTTTTCGTGTGCAAAATACACAAAAGCACATAATACAAAATACTCACGGCATATTTTACTTCCGGGAATGTTTTCACATTGTTCGTGTTCCGACTTGGACGTTCATTGTTTAATTAGAGTAAGGTATTTACACTCTTCCTATTATTTTCAAATGTAATACCAACAAGAAAATAATATTATTGTGAGATTTCATTCGATTTAATAGCGATTCGTTGGTAAAAATACGTAAAACATAAATCAGCAATGAAAAAAAAAGTACAGATTTCTTAAGATTTATAAATCGTTGATGATAGTATATGTTCACAAACACAGGTTTGGTTAAACAATATTATGACGCAATAACAACCTAGCTTTTAAAATGTAATAATAGTTAAAAAAAAAAAAATCAATAAATTATGATTTTAAAAACATACCCATGTAAAAAATCATTCGATAACATTTTAATACGATTAAATACATTCAAATAAAATATAATAAATCAGTTTGCGTATTAATACATTCCTACATAAAACTCGTATGTAAATTTACGAAATAAACTTAAGCTGACTAGGTAAAGTATGTGATATGTAATTGCGTTTTTAATGTAATTTATTCTTTCAAAAACATTTTAGGTATTTAATCGTTTATCTAGTTTATAAGTTATTATTTAATATTAAATCGTACTATTTTTTAATAAAAAATAAAAGTACAAGATTTGATTTGAACTATATCGATTTTAATTTATATTTTGGTTACGTATAAATCTATAATTCTTAAATGATACGGATATCCAATGAGTTTCTTGGACTCTATAGGACCTTGGTGTTTTGTTCTTAATATATTTTATTTAAAATAAACTAGTAAACAAATAATATTATGTATTTCACTATGCCTACGTCCTATATACGTACACTATGCATTATGTGACCAAATACAATAGCATAGGTTAAAATAAATAATAATTTACTTACTTCGAAGGTAATTGTACAAAAAAATAAATTAAGGAAATGGTTTTATCAAAATCACATTGACCTAAAATGAGTAAGATAATAACTAATAATCTTTCAATTTTCAATTGAATATTCCCACAGACGAAAACAATTATATGTGTCCTCTGTAGTCAATAGTCTATAGTGTTCATAGATTCGGTTTGATCCTTGAATGACATCCAATTTGAACACTTAGAGTGTTCTAGCAAAATATGAAATACATACCTACCATTTAAATATAAAAACCTTATGCGTCGAGGTCTATAATTTATTTTATTTTCAAACACTTTCATTGTTACCAGCTTTTATTTATTTTATCTAACAATATTAAATTCACTTGACATTTCTTGTATCTTAATGATGCTAAACTTATCATTTTAGATTCTGAGAGGAACGAATGAACAATGAATTGATTGTATACGATGACGTGTGTGATTTTTTTTATTTCACCTTTAAGAGTAATAAAAATGCATAGATTTTTAATTTTAACTCCGAAGACATCAAAATGTAGTCAAAAGATTCTTCATAAATTTTTTTACTGGAAAAAAAAATTCTGCCACACAATTTGTATACCTAAGCGATTAAATTCAAATTTTACGAAATTGGATACTATTCACAGTATATTAAGGATTTCTCCACAAATTATTTTTGTAATTTTGAAAATTAAAATTATTCAAAAAGGTTTAATCATAGAAACTTGAAACATTTCACTATCACTCATATTAACTCAAGTTCTCTGATTTTAATTTTACTTTTACTTATGAATAAGTATTATACTAATAGATAAGATGTAAGTTTTCTAGTTTTACAGAATGAAAATTAATGGTTTAAAACTCTTCAATGTTCTTTTTATTTTCAACATGTACAATCCAAAAATCATGTGCACTTTAATACCATTTTAAGTTTTATGCGAAAATAATTTCGCTTTTGTTTTTAGAAATAATTTGTTATACTTTAACATTTATTTGTAAAAAAAAAATATTAATACTTCGGAGTGTTTCTTAAACCGTAATTTTGCTAAAAGTCACTCGAAATAATGACATTAAACTATTGAAGCTTATATTATTTTATACCTATGTTTTATTTTTACCTATATATTGACATTTTGCTAACAAAATACCATCGGATTTGTGGTTCATCCATCACACTCATCATTAACAAAAACTGTTAACTCAGAATATTTAATTAGGTACCTAGTTGATTTCCATATAATATGCCTCAGGTAGTTAGGTACTATAAAACAAGACGTGTACTATATTAAGTATTATTTTAAACAATATTATATACAATTCACTTGTAATCAGTTAAAAATTAGGTTGAGTGGGTTCAAAAAGAGGAAAAAAGCAGAGTTATATTCTAAATTTAAACTTGTATATTATAATATATAATTAACCAAGGTTGGGCAAATTAATGTTTTTTTTTTAACTCAGTTAAGTTAAGTTAATATGCACCAATAACAAAAAGTTAAAAGTTAAAAGTTAATATACACTTTTTGTTAAATTTTTATTAAGTTCAAAAAAAGTTAATTTGTTTATACAACGCTAGCTTACATAATTTTTTTCCAACCCATAACTAAAATGATGGACCATAGTGTTTATACTTTATACAGTATCTCCATATAAGGTAGATTCGAATGATATACATTTTTGACTTAAAACAATGCACGGTAAATATTGTTTGACGCATGAAAACAAAATAGACTGAAATAGTAAAATATAATAAAATAAAAAACAAAATAAATAAATTTAACTTACTTCTTAAAATGAAAAATTAATTCGTTGATTTCACGTTAATTAAAAAAGAAATGCAGTAAGTTGAGAGTTAAGTTGAAAAGTTTAAATTAAATTAACTATTTAACTTAACTTTAACTTTTTAACTCGTTAATGCCCAGACTTGTAATTAACAATATAATAATATGTACTTAAGCAGTAGAATAACATAATATTAATTTTGATAGCGTTGACGATTCCAACATAGGATGCCAATATAATATGTAAGCGTCGTATATTCACGATAATTAAAGTTTACGGTAAAATATGTTTGCAATTTTTTTCTATAATATTATTGTAGGTATAATTATTGGAGAAAATGTTGTCCACATAACCTCTATCCGCCCACCCCATAGCGTTGTGTTATTATTTGTGTGGGTACCTATTCCTACCTTTACCTACACCGATTCGCCTTGTTATGCATCTGATCTACAACAATTACCCGGCCCCACCTCGGACCACCTCGACTTTATGGTCGGCGACTTTCGGATATAAAACGCCGGACTCCAGTTGGGTTCAGTCACATGTTCGCCGGTGATTTTGATAACCACAAGTACCCAATATCTGTTGTAAACGTTTCGGTGTGGACCTTATTGCCATCATATACGGGAGTATAGCAAATAATATCTGTTGGAACGTTCCAGCCCTCTGCAGACAATAATTGTATTCGACATGGGCTCTTTATCGATTGCAGTAAGTAAACCGACACAATATAATATTATATTATGACACTTTTTTAAAATTTTAACACGGTTCGATATTTGAAAAAACTAAACAACAATATCGTTGTTCTCCGATATTATCTCTACAAATTGTCTATATTATTATTTTTCTCGGAATACGTCCAAAGAACATATTATTATTATCAAATGTTTATAATTTATGCCCATCGTTATTTACAATTTTCATTGCAATGAGCTTAATTATTTTTGAACATTTAAAGCCACTTATAATTTACTAGAAATATTATTATTTTTTAATTTAATATTTAAAATAATTTTATAATATTTTTAAAGTACTTATAATTTAAGTTTTTGAATCATTAAATCATATCGTTGAGTGTAGGTACCTGCAGATGATATTGTTAGTTGTAATTATTCAATTATTTATGGAACCATATTTTGTTTTTTTTTTGTTTATTACTTAATTTTTAATAAGCTACCTTTATTTATATCAAAATAAGTTAACTTTGCTCTAAAAGTATCATCAACGTTTTAATCGAATAGGTTGTAAACAACATTACCTAATTGATAAAATGTATATTTTAATTAAATATTAATATTTTAAAAATATTTAATAAATAATAATCACATTTGTAGTCCATTATTAAACATAGGTACCATTTTAATCATACCTACTAATCTATTTTGAAATAATATACTATTAATTTTCTTATAATCCAGAAAAATAATAAATATAACGTATTCAATTTTCCTATCTGGAAATTTCTCAAATAATAAAATTGGTTCTTTTATACAGTTCAAGAAAATACTATGAATTAAAATAAAATACAATCTATGTCTTAGGATCAATGCACACATTTCAATACATACAGCTGACAAGCTTGGGTGTTCAAATTTTTATTTTATACAAGTTGTTCATCAAATAAATACTTTATGAGTTAAGATTTAAAATTAAAATTGTTTGAGTTTTACGTTATTGCTAATAAAACTGGCTAATTTTTACAGAGATAATTTAACGATAATTTTTTTATCATATTTTCAATATTGCTAGTTATTTATAGCATAAAATTATTTATAAATTTATCAAAAAAATTATATACATAGGTATATATGAATTAAATATAAAATAGAGTTAAGTATTTATATAGTATACACTTATATTTTAGAATCTATTTGAAAACGTTACGACAAAACTAATGATCCGATTTCGACCTACTTTGGATTATGTTTACAAAAATCTTATTATCTAATCAATCATTGACTGAGATTTCTTAATCTCAACAATGTCAAAATAAGTTAAAAATTTACGATCCGCAATAATTCTCGTTTCTTTTTTAAATTTAAATAACAATGTAATCAATTATTTTATTGCTTCTACTGCAGTCCCACATACATGCAAGGGATAAGTTAAATTAGTTAGTACTTACGTAGTTAATATGAGTTATACAAGCATAATATTTTTTATTGGGTGTAATAATATTATAATGTACTATATAATTTATAATATCAATTTAAAATGTCAATAGTATAGTTTTTCTACGTGCTTAAACTCGCTTTTAAAAGTAAGATTTCCTTAAACTGTCCGACATGATCGATTCCAAGCCATAAATCGTCTCTAATATAAATATTCACTATGTGATCTTAGATACAAATGGAAATAACAACGGTTTCGTAAGAACTAAAATAATTCATGTTTATTTGAATTAAAAAAATATTTCTTAGTATTTCTTACCAAATGCTAAAAATACTTAAATACCACTTGTTAGTTTATTGCTTTGTTTTATTTTGTAATGAATCCAACACACACACAATTACTTATTACATAAGTAACTTGCCACATGCATTAGATTATTTTAACTGATAAAATTAAATTAAAAATGAGACTTTTGCTCCGATAAAAGTCTGAATATTTAAACCATAATATAATTAACTTGTTCTGGATTCGTCTCGCTTCGTTAAAATTCTAGGATAGTGACGATAACTCGTCACGCTTCAATGTTTACGGTAAGGATTTAGTCTCGCGGGAATTGGTTTTTGCCGGTTTTTGGTGTATATATCACTTGGCTGGATGTGTTGAGCGTGTGTCGTAGTTTTCAATCCAAAAACAATTAACAATTGTCACATTCTATAAACGATTCAGAGCGAAACACAGTGTGTTATGGTTATCGACAATAAAGTTAGTAGGCAATTTTAGTAATTTTCGAAAGAATTTTATCGTTGCCATAGACCAATATTTTCTGATACCTGCGAGAAACATATTTTGTAAACCGTCCAAACAAGCATTTTCTTGTAATCATTGCATAAAGTTATTAAGTTAAGGATCCCGGTGCCAGTTTTTCAAATTTTCCACAATTCTATACAGTTTGAAAATTAAATTTCATATTTCAGTTGCCGTCTCAATTATAAGACTTTTCCACTAATCTACTATCTAATACCTATTTAGGGAGGGGGGTATATTATATCGAGAAAAAAATAACTCTCGAGCTTTGTAGAATTGTCGGATTTTGATGACTATTTTTTTTATCTGAAAGAAGAAGGCTTCCTACAGCCCGCATCGATCTCCGATTTTGTATTTTAATTCAAATAATTGTATTGAAATATTTGTAAAAAAATGCTTTTTATCTCGTATTTTTTTAGACATATTATAAAGTTTGAGAATAAAATATTGAAAAACAGAGATCGATGAGGGCTGTGGAATATTTCTGTCCAACAATTAAAATAAAAATTATGAAATTTGGTTGATTCTACAAGGCTGTACCGTTAATCCCGCAGAGTGTACTTTTGAGGACAAAATACAAACAAACTTCCTGTGTCTACTCAAAATACAACTTTTGTATCCATCCAATCCGTCGAATGACTAATTTTACTTTTACAACGTAGCAATCAAATGAAAAAAATCATCTCCGTATGTCACGCGTATGGGCATGATGCGTGTTCGGCGTTCAAAAAAATAGAAAACAGTATTATGTATTTATGTATATTGATACATTCAATAATCGCATCTGGCAAATCATGACTAACATTCCAAGCGTACATATATCATGATAATATCATTATCTTGTTCGATCACGATAATATAATATCATGGTACTTCCTGACACGCGTAATAATTACCTATCCACCCCCGCCAGGGAAAGTGATGATGCATCACGCATGGATCCGAGCTACCCGAGTCTGGTGGTCTCCCGTATTTTTTTTTTTTTATTATTATTAATATTATTATTATTGTACACAACTATCGGCCCACGGGTTATTCCAAATTATTAATAATAAAATGGCACATAAAATTATTATCATCAGAATAATCACTTTCACTCAGCAGCGACCTGCCCGAATGCTGGAAACCTTTCACCGGTCGCACGCGATGACCCGGCCGAAGTGACCGACGGGTGATAAAATGTACTCTTCCTAAAAACTAGTTCTTCTTCTTCTTGTACCGACGAAGTAGAAACAAAATACGTTCTCACGCCTACGACATACGCATCGTCGTGTTGTTATGTAACCGTCTTCTCGTGTTCGAAACACCGACTCATATCTGCATGAACATAATATATAATAAATTTATCGAATAAAACTATCGAATTCATCACCAAAGACAACCTTATCAACAAAATATAGTTTCAATGTAAATTAAATTGTAAATCTATTTAAACAAATATTGTAATTTTTAATATTGTAATTTACTTTTCTTTTTTTTTTTTGTTAAACTTAAACAAAAATGTTGGCTAATAACCTTTGTAATTGAAGCCTGTAAACCTTAAATAAAAAATAAATAAATAAATAAATTTAAAATTATAATATATTAACTTTACAATGTTTACATTTCAGGTTTTCTGCCTCCTGGCAATCGCCTGCACATTCGACACCACAAGTGCAACATTCGGCAAAAAAGAACAGTGAGTATAATATTATAGTCTATTTATTTAGTATTTACCCTCAATATAATATGTATTGAATTATAAAGGCACAGTTTTAAATTAAAAATTCTGTGCCCGATTGCATAAACAATCACTAAACATTTTATGAGTTAATAGTGAACTAAAATGGTCCCTTAAACATGATTAAGTGGTTCATGATTCGTCCATTACATTTTAGTGTACCATCAAATTATTAATTTTTTTATACAACCCGCCATTAATTCATTATACCTAAATTCTAAATCATATACCTAAAAAAAATAATCAAACTACGACTATTATGTGTATTTAATTTAATTTACATTGACATTTTCGATGGTATATGTATTTTATATTTCATATCTTCATTTCATAATTTAGATGAAATATTTTAAAAACGTTTTTTTATGCAACTTCAAAGTCCAATGTTAATTATAAATTCATACCAAATTTTCAGTGTACACATTCGTGTTCATGTGCCAACCATCGTGAAGGAAGTCTACGTAAAAAAACCAGTTCACCATCACGAACACCATGATGATCATTATTCTGGTCACAGCGACCATGGCAGTTCATCTGGTGGTTACGGAGGATCCTCCAGTAGTTATGGTAGTGGTGGAGATGATTCGTTTAGTGGTGAGATCATAATAAAATTAATGTGAAATAATCTCGTTCATCATATTTATTGGCTCAATAATTTTATATAATTATTTCAGGTCATGGAACTTCTGGTATTTATGATTCTGGATCAGGTGGACATGGTGGTAGTAGCTATGACGATAGTTCATCAAGCAGTTACAGTAGTGGACCTTCTTCGGCCGATGAATATAGTTCCAGCGATCATGGATCAGGTGGATATGGCGGATCATCCGGTGGTCATGGTGGTTTATCAGTAGGATTCGATGGATCTTCCGGTGGATATGGTGGTTCATCAGGAGGATATGGTGGATCTTCCGGTGGCCATAGTGACTTATCAGGAGGATTCGGAGGATCTTCCGGTGGATATGGTGGTTCATCAGGAGGATATGGTGGATCTTCTGGTAGTCATGGTGGCTTATCAGGAGGATTCGGTGGATCTTCCGGCGGATATGGTGGTTCATCAGGAGGATATGGTGGATCTTCCAGTGGTCATGGTGACTTATCAGGAGGATTCGGAGGATCTTCCGGTGGATATGGTGGTTCATCAGGAGGATATGGTGGATCTTCTGGTAGCCATGGTGGCTTATCAGGAGGATTCGGTGGATCTTCCGGTGGATATGGTGGTTCATCAGGAGGATATGGTGGTTCATCAGGAGGATATGGTGGTTCATCAGGAGGATTCGGTGGATCTTCCGGTGGATATAGCAGTTCATCAGGGGGATATGGTGGATCTTCCGGTGGCCACGGTGGTTCGTCAGGAGGTTACAGTGGTGGTTCCTTAGGAAGCTATGGAAGCTCTTCAGGAAAATATGGTGGTTCTTCAAGTGGAATTTTATTCAGTGGATATTCTGCTAGTAATCACAAAGGATCATCTGGTGGACATGGTGGAAGCTCATCCGGAGGATATGGTGGAAGTTCATTTGGAGGACACGGAGGAAGCTCATCTGGAGGATATGGTGGAAGTTCTGGAGGTGGATATGGCGGTAGTTCATTAGGTGGACACGGAGGAAGCTCATCTGGAGGATATGGTGGAAGTTCAGGAGGTGGATATGGTGGTAGTTCATTAGGTGGACACGGTGGAATTTCTTCTGGAGGATATGGAGGAAGTTCAGGAGGTGGATATGGTGGAAGTTCATTTGGAGGACACGGAGGAAGCTCATCTGGAGGATATGGTGGAAGTTCATTTGGAGGACACGGAGGAAGCTCATCTGGAGGATATGGTGGAAGTTCAGGAGGTGGATATGGCGGTAGTTCATTAGGTGGACATGGTGGAAGTTCTTCTGGAGGATATGGAGGAAGTTCAGGAGGTGGATATGGAGGTAGTTCCTTTGGCGGACTCGGAGGAAGTACTTCTGGAGGATATGGAGGAAGTTCAGGAGGTTTTGGAGGCTACTCGGGTGGTAGTGATCATGGTTCCAGCTCTGGTGGAGACACTTATTCAGCTCCGGGACAGGATAGCTATGGACCAGCAGGGGAGAGTTTTCCTTATACTAAAAAATGAGCCACTATGAAATTCCAAAACGAATAAGTTAATTTTTAACATGAATTTAATTTTTTTTTATTGTTACATACGTTATTGCTATTGATTTGTATCTAATATGGAAACAATTGTGAAATGTTTCCATTTTCTAAGACTGACTTATCTGTTTTTATTAATAATTATAAAAATAAACACATTTTATTAGAATGCGTTGTACTGTTATTTGTTATATTTATAGTATACATGTATAATTTGTATAAAAATCAGTAACAATTAGAATTTTTTTTAAATTAGTGGCCTTAACACTGAGGAAAAAAAATAATTGTAGTAATAAACAGTTATTTGTATTAACTGTAGGTTTCATTAAAATTTTACCAACCAACCAGATGTGTTATAAACTGATACATAGTAAATAAATTAAAAATAGTACTATGTTGTTGACATATTTTACATATTATAGTTACCTGGTTTTTCTATCTTCTGATGTTCATTAAGTATTCAAAATTTAAAATACCTAGTTATAAATAAGTACCTAGATTTATGTTATCAATTTAAGGCATTTGAGTATTTTTTCATATTTGGTAAACAAAACATCAACTACTGAACTACATTACTACAAAAGTGTTTAGCTTACATGAACGTATTAAAATAAATATAGGAATATTGTATACAGATAATACTTTATACATAAATACGAGAAAAATACTGGTAAGAATGTTAGACACAAATATTGAAATATATAATATTAAAATGTATACAATTATTGTTCACTATAATTTTTAATTTATTTATTTCCCAAAGAAATTATATTACCTTCTATAATTATTGTAGCTTTTGTTTATTCAAACATTATAAACTACAGTATAACATTGATCTGAAAAAATATTATAAACATTTTAAAACTTAATTTTAGGAATATATTAAAATTATTTTGCTTATGGTGCATTTTTCCATTTTAAACAGTTTTTATATAATCCGTTAGCCGACGTCATAATGCTATATAAAGATAGTATTATGATACCTAATTAATTTGAATGACTATGTAACTTTTTTTTAGTTTAAAATGGTGATCAAGGTGCTTTATTAGATATACATATAACCAATTTATCGAATATAATAATTATATGCTTTTATGTTTTGTTATTATATATTAGTATAACAATATAATATAAAGATTATTTGTATAGTAACTGTAGGTACTTTCATTTATCGATTTACCAAAATTATATTGTGGTAATTTAAATGGATTTTGTGTTTGTCCTTCAATTATAGTGTAACGACTTATACTACTGGTGATATTTACCATTATTTCGGTGTATTTTTTGAATACTTCAGCATAATATTAGTATACTGAATGAATTAAATTCAAAAGCTAATATAGTGTTATAGGCGACCTAAAGTCTAGACTAGAGCAAGAGTATACAAATTTACTATTTATTTTAAATAATTTTAATTTTCTTCTATATTTTTTCTCTTAATATTATAATTGCCTAACTATTTTAACTAATTTATAAAAATACATTCAGAAAATATATATTATTTTAAATTTGTTTCACAAGACACAAGACACTATGTCATTTTGTTTTAATTTGTATTGTATACAATATATACATACTGCAGTATAGACACTTACATGTTGCCACAAGCAGTGTATAGGTACAATTAATTCAAAGTGTATTCATTAATTATATATACAGACCGAAATTAATATTGTCACAATGAGGAAACATAATATTAAGTTCTGAGATGTAACATTTTTTTTATAAAACGTTTTTATTGTGCTACTAACTAGCATAGTTTTATAAAACATTACATTTATGAATTGTGAACAGACATTTTTTAAATGTTTCGTTGAGTAATAGATATAACTGATTTAAGTATGTAACACATATTGTGATTTTAATTAAAATTCCTATTTATAGCCAATCAGTTTAAATTAAACATATCCATAATATTATTAAGAAACTAAAATGTATAACACCATATTGTTGGAAATTATGACGAGAAATCCTTAAAAATTGTACATAGATATGGGTAGTTCATAAGTCATCACAATTTTTAATACTCCAACAACAGAATTCTAAAGGAATTTAAACAACATTTTAGTGAATCGTGACTAATGAGCAGGGCTCGAGACTCCTAGCACTAAAAAAAAACCATAAAATAGGCGCTATAATAATATATGCCTTAAAAAATAGTAAAATATGCACTATAATATGCCCAGTAAAAAAATGTGATATGCTCTAAGAAAATTAAAAAAAATTATTTGATTAATTCAAATGATATTTATTTATAATCTAATTCTAAAAAATATTGTCGACATGTACATGATTATTGTACATGTATGATTTCTTCCTTTTGTAAACATAATTGGTAAAATTCAATAAATCAGTAGGAAGTAAATATTATAATTTATAAATTATAAATGTTAATTTATACCTTGAAAATTGCCCTGCAGTAGTATTATGTGTTTGTGAATATTTTGAACGATCTTCTGTTATTGGTCAGAAATGTATTGTACGTTGAAAATGAACTCACTTGCAACGAATAATGGTATAATAAATACAACAGTTATTGCTGTATAAATATATGTAGTTATAATTCATTGTTGTATTGATCGTCTTAAGTTTTTGAAAACTCTAAATTTGTAGCGAGCCTACGTATGAAAACACATCTAATAAAACAAATTACTATAATAGAATTTTTTAGATATTTGATTAATCGTCAATTAAATTGAATTATCGTATGTCATCACATAAGTGTATCGATAATAGATTCAAGATTTTCAAACTTTTTATTCGTGCTGTAAGCTAAACGTTTGTCGGAATCCTACAAAAGTGATCTGAATTCGAAACCTTAGAATTTACTCCAGTTTACTTCATTAAAATTACAGTTTCCATTGAACTTAAGTATATGGTAAGTAGAGGTGTTGACCTGCATAGTGGACCAATTTGGATAATAACTTATGCACAATTTGTGATTCCCAATTATCATGTGAATCGTCGTTTCTTTATTGAGGTTTGTGACAAAATGTGTCTTACAGTTGATCAGATCCATTCAAGAAGCTTCTTGTTTAACTGATCCAGTTAATTATTTAATATAATTACAAAATTATAAACAGGCATAGTATCGGTTTTTTAAAAAAAATATTTATAATGAATCTATAATTTATTTTATTATAATGACTAATTTTTAGTTGTAAGTACACTTGAAATTTTTATACAATATATTAGAGTATTCGACAACCATATTGTAGATACATTTAAAAATCACGTCTCACGTTATTGATCAATTTGATAATGTACTTAATATAGTAATTTTTACTTTGTACATATTACATTAAATGTATTATTTTTATCAATAACTTATAATTTTAAAATTGTCAAACTCATTTTACAAATAATTGTTCTTAGTACCTACAATATTTGTTGTGGGACACTTTATTTTATAAGTATTATAAGCTAATAATTATTAGGTATTTGTTGATCGATACTTTTCAGAGAACTGTCTTTTTTCAAACAATTAAAAACCAATTTATTTGGTCCTCTTAAACCGTGAGTGTATAAAAGTTCATATTTTAAAACATTGTTACTCATATGGTTATTCTTATTACTTTTATTAAGAATACGTTTGTTTGTGAATTAATAACACTTGCTTGAATGATTAGTTTACGTTTAAGTGTGAATAATTTATAGAGTTATTGTTAGAAATTTGTTTTAATAATATCCCTACTATAAATTGTATGATTGTTACTTGTTTGTGTGTCTGCGATAGGTACATTTATAATTTATTTGAATCGAATAGATTAACTGACTGAGTATGTTGCAATATTATTTATTGTATTAAAATATTATTTTTATGAATCGTTAAAATTATCATCATTTTTTTTTTGATGAATACGTTATTATTACCAACGAGACTTTTTTACTTATGCAGCTAGAATTTATATATAAACCCATCATATTTCAATAGTTGTTTATTTTTTGATGAAATTACATTTTAAAAAAAAATACTAACGAGAAATGTTCACATTTTATTCGAGAACACATTTGGTTTGATTATATTATAAGTATAAGAAGAATACTAACTTACGTTGAATACGTTGCATGCGTTCTGTATTGAAATAAATAATGAAAAATAAGATATAAATGATAGTATAATAGTATTAGTTGATAATAATATTATGTTAACAATCAGTAATAGTTAATCACCTGTTGAGTATTGTTAACCAAAACTGAACACGAATGATAATTGTGTAGCCTATAAAAAATCTCCTTACAAAAACCTAATAGAATTTTAATGATATTATCAAACTATAATTTATGTTAAGGGTAGATGGTTTTAGTTGCACTTATAGAACTAGTATTAATCAAATCATGTAACCTGTTAATTGTAAATTCAATAATAATTATAACTAATAAGGAATAATAGGTAATGATAAAATTATTTGAGTATCAAACGTTATGTATGCATTATATATATCACAAAATATGAAGTGCACATCAAAGGTTTCTAAAAAAAAAAATATATAATAGTAAATCAAGCTTAGGTAATATAGAAAAGTTATTACCGTGTTTATTAATATCTGTTAGTAGTTACAACTGCTAACCTAATTATAATTTTATTTAATCACGCTGTATACAATGTGAATTTTACAATACTTTTTTATCATTGTAAGCTAATATGTATTTAAGTTTAAAATACTTGAAATCAAACTTTGTCCTACGTTTGTTATTTGTAGTTACAACATTTTATTGTCAAATTTTGGTAAAATTATATTGTTTACTTACCAAACAATCTCAAATATTTATTATCCCATATGGTCGGATTATAAATTCATTATATTAATCTACACTTTAGAGCAGCGGTTGGGAACCTTTTTATATCCTCGTACCACTTATAAATTTTGAAAATTGTTCACGTACCACTAGACTTAATAACCTTTTATTTTTTTTCAACTATATCAAGTTATACAAATATTTCAATCAACAAATAAAATTACATTATTTTTCATAATATAAAGTCTTTTTCATAATTTATTTTATTAGTTTAAAGCTTAAACTAATTTAATTACATAAGTATTTAGTTGAAAAAAAGTAACATATTATAAGTAACAATATTTTCAGTTATTTTATTAAATAAATATGGACGAATAATTTAATAATTTAATGAGACGGTGTTATGTTGTATCGAACGAATATCGGTCTCCGTATTGGTAAATTTAAGTCTTTAAGTTGTCTTTTACGTTAATTTTGTTTCTATAAGTATTTATTTTTCACTTATATTAAGTAGGGAAATGTATTTTTTCCCCACAGATTTATAGATGAAAAAGGCATTAGAAATTGAAGAGTTTGTGTGGACAACTTCGAGTTTTCTTTTTCCACTTCCAGCCAAAAATTTGATATATTGTTAGTTGTGAAATCTCTCTTTAGGGCAGAGTTATTGGTGAGATCATTGAACAATGAATAATTCTTTTACAAAAATAGATTTTGGAATATTCTTAACATAATCCTCTTCGAAAGGGTTTACGATCCATTTCATTTCTAAATTATCCTCAGAAAAATATCTAGAAATGTTGCATTTTAACGGTAGGTGTAAAAAATCTGTAGTTACTTTTGAATTTGACCGAATTCCATTTTCTACCAAAATTTTAGTTAGTGTCTCCAATGCTGAAATATGTCTCTTGAAAACTTATGAAATACATAAATCCAACTTCCTTACGAATGCACTAATTTTATCACTAGCATAATAATCATAATAGTAATATTTATATTTTTTTATTTTTTTATTTTTAAAATCTTTTTTTGCTTATTAAAAAATGTCTTCTCATACCACTTCCAAGCTCTCCACGTACCACTAGTTTTAATAATTTACAACATAATCTAGGATAAAAGGTGGGTAAGGTACCTAGTGTGTTTTAATACACCTATAATATATTGATATACATAATTATTCAGTATATATTATTATATTATATTATAAATAGTTACCTATGTTATTTAGATTGTAATAAATCATAAAATTGTCTCTGGTTAAAGTCTAAATTCAACACATCGTAATGATCTGTTGGCTTATTACCATGTATTATAAGGTATTGCGACAAACTCTAAATATTTTCATAATTCACTATTCACCAGCTAAATCCAAATACTAATTTTAAATTTGTCAACAGAAAATAATAAGAAAATTATGTTCTATGCTGACGACGTTGCAATTAACTACTGAGGACATACTGTAGGAGGTACCTGTAATGAAAGCTGTAAGTAATCCAAAACGTCCAAAACAATATTGACCAAATAAACAGAAATAAAAATGGTTAGGTTCCCACAAAATTCACCAGAGTCGTCTATTCAAATTCGGTTCACCCAAAATCTCTTTAACCATTAGAAAATCTATAACAGCGGGTAGTAAATAGTAATAAAGTACCTTTATCGTGGCACGTGCGAAATATAGGTGTATCTTGACAATACGCAGCTATACGCCAAACTGTAAACTGCAGACGATTGACCCAAAACCCGAACATTTCCCCTAAATTACCAACAACAAGAGTATCCAGGGGCGTATACAAGGGGGGGATGTGGGGGTCAGACCCCCCCCCCATAGGCCTTTTTTTAAATTTTATAAAATAGTGTTCTTAATGTAAGGAAATTACAAGGAAAAAAAATGGCAAGGATTTTTTGTAAATTTTTATTTTAACACAATATTCAACAATTAATTAAAAATAATTTACTTAATATTAATCAGTAATCATATATTTATTTCATATTCATATAATCGTATTATACTATTATGTGATATTTGATAATATGTATATTATATATACAAGTATAATAAATTATTATAAGAATAATAATATGTGGCAGACCAGCCACGGGCCGTCGCCCGCATGTCCGTTCGTATAATAATACATTTTCCTATACATTAGAAAAAGAAATATTATTATGGCATAATATAAGGTTATTGCACGATGGTTTTTACGCATTTATACCAAAACATTATCAATTTTTTATATTATCAACTGACATGGATATACCTACAACATACTATTTTTTTTTATAGCTAATAGCTGTCAGTAATTTGTTCATTGAAAGCTCAAAATAGCTTAAATAAGAAATATTATTGACTAAAAAAAAAGAAAATTAAATTTTGTTCTATAATTACTTGTAGAATTTAAAATAAAATGTATTGAATATATATATGTTTTATCATTTATTAGGTATTTAAATGAGCACATACCTAGGTTTAGGTATTTTCGTTCCATAATTTGTTTGCAACTGATCCCCCCCCCCCATACAAAAGTTATGTATACGCCACTGAGAGTATCGATCACCCAACATATTTTATACCATAAACTGACCTAAATTATATCTAAGAATCGGATGCACTTTTTCCCGTTGTTCAAATAAATGCTACAACCCCATTCGGTTAGAATTCCCGGGGTTTATAGGTACGTGAAAACGGTCTCAAGACGAAATTCAAGTATTCCGATCAATACTCAACGAATTATCTGGCCACCAGATTCGTGAGGAACGATGTAAGTTTCGCATAACCTTCTAGTTATACTACTAATTAATTATCAGAATCAAATCAAATGTCAAACTTGTATAATAACCTGACTCCTAGAATTATAGGTATATTCAAATATTGCCCCAACTGCAGATATCAGACACATGCGCTGCCCACGCTCCTCGTGAGTACCACCTACCTATAAGCATCACAACAAACTGTAAATTCGAAAACCTTTGTAAATACGTCGATGAAGAAAACATATTTTATTAAATATCTCAGCGTAGGGGTGTAGTTTATTTCGAGAAAATAAAAATTACGTACGATTTTAAAGTGCTCGGACTAAAACGTTTAAACGTTTTCTTATTTGTTGACTATATACTTTTAAAACTAACACAAAAGTGCATATTATTATTATGCAATAAATTATTAATTATATTTATTTCACTATTTTATACGCTGTAATTATATATATTTTGTCATGCGTTGACGTATATTAATGAGAATTTGTGCGTGAACGGTTTTTAATATTAATTTATTCACATATTATAAACTCTATAATCCTGAATAATATATTTTATTCAAACATTTATTCCTGCTACAATATTTTCTGAACTCTTAAAGTCCCTTTATACGACATGAAAGAGAATTCATTTAAGTGTAAAACGTGTGGAAATTTATTTGCATGAAATAAATATTTTTTATTTTCTAAAACTTAATTTCATTAAGATTGTATTAAAAATGAAAGTTAACTGATAAAACTTTTTTCCATTCAACATGACCTACTAAAAATATAAATTTGAATAGTAAAATAAGTACGGTAACATTGTCAATCAGAATTGATTTTTTCCAATATTAACAATTTATTACTGAATAAAACTTTTTTTAATTAAAATGTTTTCAGTACATGATGTCATGATCTATAAAATAATTGCAAGCGCTGTACGAATATCGGAATATACCATAATTATTGTCGATAAGTATTGGATTGATATTGGGTGGATTAAGATGCTTTCGTTAAATAGGTACTAATATTTATAATCAATTTATCAATGATTTAACCAACAAACGAACAGTGGTCACTATTTTAATAAGAGGATAAGAGTTTCTATTTTATGAAATAATAAAAGAAATATATTTGTTTCACTATTATTTGTTATTATTAATGCTTGAGTCATGGGGTGTTGGGGTGAGCAAACTAAGATGATACTTTCATCTCGGATGTTTTTTTACACGGCGTAATGAATAGGCAATAAAGGTACAACACTGCAGTAGTGGACCATTTAGTTATGTCCCATTACTATGTATTATAATAAAATTCTATAATCATACTAAAGTATAATACTAAAGCTGGTTTCACACGGAGCGATTTAATCGCGGGCGGTTGCGGTTAAAAATCGCGGCGGTTAATCGCCTATAATTAAACAAATATGTTGATATGGATGCATTCACACGGGAAAAACCGCGCGGCCGAAAATCGCGTTCAACCGCCTTCGATCGCTGCTGTTCGATTTTTCAGCGGTCAGAAGCGGCTGAACGCTAAAATTAGACTGCCTATTTCAAATGGTTCTGTTCAGACTGCGCGTTTAAATCGCCGCGATTACATGCGTTCATTCAATAATTTACCATAAACGTGTAAGCACGAAAATTATTTTGATTTTATTAATTAATAAAAGTACCTATATATTATAATATCCTACTAATTATTATTATGGGATTTGACAACGAAGAATTTATTTTAGAAATTTCCGCTGAAGATAGCATTTGGAATATAAGTAAGTACCTACTATAATAATCATTATCATTTATCAATTAATTAATTTCTAGTAAAAATTTGAATATATATTAATGTGTGGGTATACATTTTTTAGAATCTAAAGTATACCATGATAAGGTAGCTAAACACGTGAGCTGGACAAAGGTAGCTAAGACCTGCGTCGATGGTTTCGAAAATCTAAATGATAGAGAAAAAGATGCTAAAAGTAAGAAATTGTATTAATTTATAAGAAGTACATTCCAATGGTCTTGTAAATATGAAATGAGTAATACCCTTAGTAAGAAATTAAATAAAATTATTTTCGAATAGTTATCGATCTACAAAAAAGATGGAAAAATCTGAGAGATAACTACAGAAAGAAATGTGTTACAAAGTCAGGGCAAGCTGCAAACAAAATAAAACCATACATATATGGTAACATAATGGAATTTTTGCGACCAACTATGGAAAACAGAAGGTAAGTTGGATACGATAGTTACTTAAGAAAATGTCAACGCACTACTTGTTTTCTCCCTCTGACCCAAGCGTGACATAGCAAATTGTACGTTCACAATAATGATTATAACCATAATAATTTGTCAAATGTAAGTGAAATTACCTATTATAAAATTTAAAGTTAACATTATTATATATAGGGCATCGCATAGGCTTTTTATTATATTTTAATTTTAATGCGATACAGTCCCTAAAAATGTGTGTAGTACGACACACTTTGTGTAGTACAAAAAGTGCAGTGTGTAGTACAACATTTAAAAGTGTGTTATTCTAATTAAACCTTTATAATAATATTATTACCTAATATGTATAATTTTATATCTTCCCATATTTTGATTTATTTTGAACTATTTAGGAACATTTTCATTTTCCATTTTTTTTAGTTTTTTTTCTAGAAATATCAATAAAATTTTAAATGTTGGGCCAAAAAGTGTAAAAATTTAATACAAGGCTCCTGATATATTTTTACAATAGCAATTGAAAAATATTAAAAATACATAGGCACAATTTTTTTTTATAAGCATTTAAAGATCGAATTTTGACAAAATTTATCAAAATCTCGAAAATTATCAATCATTGTAATTAATAAATTATAAAATGTTCAGTTTTTATAGCTAAGGATTGAAAATTTAAAACAAAGATTCTTATAAATAGTTCATACTGTAGCCAAAAAATCTAAAAAATATATGAACACAGTTATTTTGTACAGACATTTTAAATTCAAATTTGGACGAAATAACATATTAAAAAACCTTGAATAACTTTTTAGTTATTTTGTTGTGATTGTATAATATTATTCGTTGGTACTTGAAACTTCTAAAGTGTACTATTATATATCTATGATAGTATCACGGTTTGTTGTTGATGTATAACGACGCGTTATGAGTACCTTATGGATATTGTGATATGATTAATTTGGAATTTACTGTAGTTGCATGAAAATGTAATTAAGTGTTTATTTTTTCATTTACTATACACCATACAATTTTTTTAATATTTTGACTCGTTTTGAGCTGTTACGGACAATTTCAAATTTCAATTTTTTTTCTAATTATAATTTTTTTTACAATTTTATTTGTTAGGACTGAGGGTAACATAGAAGAATCTAGTGACAATGATATTGACATCAATGATTCAGTACTGGAAGAAAATATCGACGTTCAAAATGACGGAGACGACGAAAACGATATTCCTGATGACCCAGTTAAAAAGAGACCTACAACAACAAAAACTAAACTGACTAAGAAACCTACATTTGAGGAAAATTTGCTGAACATTTTAGAAAATCGTCGTCCACAACCACAAGATGCAGAAACTTCCTTTCTTATGTCACTCCTTCCTCAAATCCGTAGTTTGACCGAGGAACAAAAAGGTAGAGTTTATATTGAGTTTTTGACTACTCTCCAAAGAGTCAAATATTCTACTCCTCAAATTCAACAAATACCATCACAGGTGAACTCTAGTTCTATTCCTTTTACCAGTTTAACTTATCCATATTATAACTCCAATCAAACTTTACCTGATTTTTCTACACTAAGCTCAGCTATAAACCCACAACAGCCACAACAAATTGAAACTGTGACTCCTACATTACACACTTATTATTCTCAGTATAATCCTCAGCCATCTGCTTCATCCACACATTCTGGTAATATACAGCCTACTAATTTTGACAATACCAAGAAATAATCATACATTATAGGCATGACTACATGTTTATAACTATTCAAGTATGTTACTATTAATTAATGTTCCTACTAATAATTACTATTAGTTTTATGATTAAACTATTTTATTTTATAATAATATTACAAAAAGGTATTGTATTATTTGAATTTCAATTATTTTTCAATAAAAAGGCTTATTGATGTTTATCTTACTTATTTTGTATTACATCAACATGACAAAATTCATGTTATGAATATTAAATACACCACTGTACTGAACTAATAAATTATAAGTAATTATAAGTATTAAGTAGACTCTATGAAAAAAAAAATATACACTGAATTTAGGTATAATGGGTAATAATAGTAGTGTACATAATAATGGCAACCAGCAAGTGTACTTTATAATTTTAATTATTTAAAATGTATTGCTTAAAATTGTGTTAAGAGTATAAATAATCTATACAGACTTTGTAGTCTATACCTTAAAGTAGTAATACAGATCAATTTAAAATAATTTTATAATTATTTTGTAATATTATTTTCCAATGACTTTATTTTGCCACTTAAGTGCATGTTGCGGAGTGTTGAAATACTTAACAAAGTGTTCTCTAACTTCTTTGGCATTTGTTGACGAATTTCCAGTTCCCCTTTCATTTGTATAATCGTCCATTGTACAACTAAGGATATCATCATTGTTGATGCCATCTCTACGTCGAACAAAATTGTGTAGCACACAACATGCTTTTGTCACAGCGACAGCGAAATTGGGTTCAACTAGTAGACTTGTTTGAAAAACTCTCCATTTTTTCGACATTATTCCAAAAGAACATTCTATATGTTGTCGAGCTCTTGATAACCTGTAATTAAAAATCCTCCTGTCGTCATTTAACGACCTGCCCGGGAAAGGTCGTAATAAATTTGGATGTAACGCAAATGCTTCGTCAGCAACGAAAACATAAGGCAGAGGAACACCATTATCATCACCAGGTAAACAAATTTTTGGTGGCAAATTTAAATTATAACCGTATAATTTTTTACCAAACACTGATTGCTTAAAGACATTACAGTCGCTTTCCTTACCGTAGGAACCCACATCTATAATTCTAAAACAGTAATTAGAATCACAAATTGCCATCAGGATGAGTGAAAAATATTGTTTGTAATTATAATAGAATGTCCCGCTGTTTTTGGGACATTCCAAACGTATATGTTTGCCGTCTACGGCGCCAGCGCAATTTGGAAATTGAGCTTTCTCTAAATACCCGGCTGCAATGTCCAACCAATCGTCAGTAGTTGGTTCTGCCATTTCAATTGGTTGTAATATGTTCCAAATAACCACACAAGTTTCACGTACGATAGTTGATATTGTGGATATTCCAATTAAAAATTCGAAGTGTAAAGCGGAAAAGTTAGAACCAGTAGCCAAATATCTAAATAAACACATATTATTAGGTATTAATTAAAATAATAATCTTTAAAAAGTAGTGTTTGCTAATCCAAAGTTTGTTATCTTTATTTTATTTAAAAATGTATAATTTAATTGTATTAATGTTAAGTAAGAATTATTTAAGAGGACGCCACACCCGCATGTGTTGTCTCCGTCTTACAAACGCGTAACATAGCAAATTACGTCCACGGAAAACAAACGAATCGGCATCAAAAAGTGGTTTTAGAGTAAAAATACCTATAATAAAACTTAAAGAGAACAATATTTTGGAGGGAACCTCATCGGCGTTTTTAAAAATATTAACTATTAAAAAAGTTGTGGTTATTTAAAAAAATTAAAAAAAAGAGTTTTTGTGCCTTCAATATCTAGCTGTGTATTTAGATTAATACAAAACCCCGATGAGGTTCCCTCCGAAATATTGTTCTCTTTAAGTTTTATTATAGGTATTTTTACTCTAAAACCACTTTTTGATGCCGATTCGTTTGTTTTCCGTGGACGTAATTTGCTATGTTACGCGTTTGTAAGACGGAGACAACACATGCGGGTGTGGCGTCCTCTTAATAATAGAACTACCCACATAGATTCTTTGTTTAAACATATAACTTCATTTCTTTAGATTTGTTGGTGACACTATGAACTACTAACTACCTACATATCTGAAACCTTGATCGGATTGATCTAAAATTCTAAAATGTCAATCCTTAGCTATAAAAGTTGAACATTTTATAAATTTTAACTACTAAATAATTTGTAAATTTACAATTTGACAAATGTAGACCAAATTCGAATATTTAAATGATTATAAAAAAATCATACCTAAGTATTTAAAAAAATATATCATCTGCTATTGTAACAATATTGATATTTATTGAAAAAAACTAAAAAAATTAAATTATAAATTATCCGCAAACAGCTCAAAACGAGTGAAAATATTTAACGCTAATATAAAGAAGCAGTGAAATTTATAAAATTTTAAATATTGAAGCAATTTTACTGCCCATAACAGTGATGATAGACACAATAATAAAAAATAAAAAAACACACATCACTGTAAAATCAATGCATTCATCGCTGATCGCTCAGAATCTTATATAATTATGTTTTCATATTTTCATTTACCTATTAACTTTAAAAAAAATAATAGATATCAAATACTGATAATAATTTAAGACAATAATAGTCTACATATTGATTATGATTTACGGTACCTAACCCTTTTGTTAAGTTCAAATTTTATTAAATATTTCTAAACTATTTGTCAAGTCTCTTTAGAGGCATATTGAACCAATTTATTGGTTATTATATAATACTAACAAATTAAATGTTTAAATTGCACATACCTTAACGTCACGGTCAATCTTTCTTCCGGTGAAATTGGAATTCGCATATTAGTATGTTGTTTTAGAAGGTATTTACCAATATATGAGACCTAAGATCATTAAATAAATACTATTGTCAGTGGGTAAATATATATTGTAGACTGATGTTCCAGTTTCACATAATTGTATTAACATTTGTAATCGAATCAGCTAATAACATACCAATGAATCGAATGACGAAATTGACATCCGATAATATTTAAAGAATTCGTCTGGGTGTGATCGCAAAGTTAAGAAATTAACTTGAAACTGACCTTCGTTGATTCTTTTCATATTCAACGGATGCACCCAGTATTTTCTCTTCCTGGTCATTTTTTGTTTTAACTGTTGTCTTTTATATAAACTATACACTACACAAATCGCTTCAACATCATCTAAGGTCTCCATTTAGTAAAACGATGGAAAATAACTTATTTAAAGACGTGAAGTACACAGTATATTCATATAAACCACGTTTTCCATAAGACTAATGTTATAAGTTCAAATGACAATAAACACATTTCGAATTTGGCGGGTATTCGAAGGCGTTTTAATCGCACGCGATCTTCTTAGTGTGAATGCATACACGGGAGCGGTTTTAAATCGCCGCGATTTTTAACCGCAACCGCCCGCGATTAAATCGCTCCGTGTGAAACAAGCTTAAAACTCAAGTTGTATTTTAATGTAATATTTTCTTCCAAAAAATGTTGTATATCTAAAACAACAACATACCTACCATCAATTTTTCAAAGTCAATAAATAAATGACCACTGAATAAATATATTGAATGCTGGAAACAAATCAATTATTTTAACCCGAGAAAAATTGACTAACATACTGTGCTATATCGTTGTACCTCGGTTTACTGCTATTTAAAATGACTCCATGATATCGTGTTTCTGGCGTTAGTATGAAATCGATGGTTTTTAAAATAGTCTAATTATTATTTTTATATTGTAACTGTACAAACATTCTGTGGATTATAAGAGTACACAAAGCAGACAATCGAGTATAAATAGTTTTGATAGGTATTGATAGATCTAAATTAACTCCATTCGCCATCAAATTATTTGAAACCACTTGGTCTGTAATTCCATTTTAAATAACTATGAATATATTTACAGGTATAAAAATATAATTTTATGCATTTAATATTTGTACAACTATAAAATTAAATTAGTGAAAAAATAAACGTAGTAATATACCAATTATACCTACGTTAAAGACGTATATTAATTATTATTACAAATATAATTACATAAGTTTAATTTATAAAAGGAACTATTTTCGAGCATGTGTGTGTGTGTATGTCAGCGATCCACAGCCAAATCTATCGCACTCATAGTTCCGAAATTTGGTAAGTACTCGTACATCAGTAATCCTATATCGAAAGATGTACACCTCGAAGCCAATATTTTTAAATTTTAAACTTTAAAGAGAGGCTCACACAGCGATTTGTTGGATTACGAAAACTTAGCTGTCAGCTGTATAGGGGTTTTCATTGGTAATATAAAATAAAATGGTAATTAGATTGGGAATAATTAGAGACTTATATTTTTATATTTGGTCAAAATAAGTTTAAATAACCCAAATAACTGTATTGAACATAATATGTGCAGTTAACGGAGTGCAAGAAGGGGTAAATACAGGGCAATTCGATATTTCACAGGCAACGCCATACAGGATCAGCTAGTAAACACTAAATATTAAAAAAAAATTGTATCCTACATAAATTTATTGAAAAAAAATCGTATATAAAATTTTTATAGGATAGGCAACTAAACCTACACGAAACGTGGTACCATTGATTATATTATTAATTATAATTTATAATCAATGGTGGGACGTTTTGACATAATATTGTAATAATATAATACGTTATCGTTAACCCGGTACCTATTTTACCATTTTAGAGTCACAAAAATGACCCACAAACGAAAGAAAAAACGCAAAAAATTCATAAATTAAAAATTCATAAATTAAAAATTACATATAATTGATATTCATATGTTATTGAAACACATTTTAAGCTAGGAATGCATCGCCTATGACGTATTAATGTTCCAAATAAAAATGTTACCAAATTCATCAACATCCGGGCCTTACTCATCAGTCATAACCAATTACAAAACACGAGACATTTTAATAAATGACATTTTTCTTGTGTAGGTATATTATTCATCCCAAGTTAGAGGGTACCACACTAGTGGGCCTCCCTCCTCACGCAATTCATGTTTTGTACCATCAAGTTTTTTTTGTTATCAAATTTACTTATTGTTATAAGTATTTTCGTTATAAATACGACTGTTTACTTGGTACTAACCTATCCTTAAGGCCCCTGCAAACCCTATTAATTTTTAATCAACACGATGATGAACACTGACAAAAATTAAAGTACTTCTAGTGGTTGGATTTAAAAAATGTAAAGATGTTTTAATTGGTTAACAAGTCTACTTTGCATCGGTTGGAGCATATTTTTTATATTTTTTATATTTTTGAATATATATTCAATACTAAAAATTTATAAATTTATAAAATGTAAAATATTTATTCTCGTCAAGACTTCGCTAAAATTGAAAAAGTACTCCTACCGATGCAAAGTAAACTTATTTACCAGCACAAACATGTTTACATTTTTTAAATCGAACCACTAGAAGTACCTTAATTTTTGTCAGTGCGACGGCTATTTCACGTCCATAAATTAGTTTTGAATATTTTGATCTAGACATTAAATGCGTGCGTGAGACCATAAATCAGATAAGAAATAACAATGTATTGTAAATTAATGCGTGTCACGAGTAATGGTAGGGGAGTATACACACACTAATGATCATTTACTACATACACAAAGACGATCAGTAATCATAGGAACGAGATAATTGCCTAAACACAACTCCTTAAAAATGACAAATTTGCAGGGGCCTTAATACCTAGGTACTCATTATTTGCAGAGTCCATAAAAATGTCAGTTCCGGAAGTGCGGACCCACGACATAATATAATCTATAAGGTCTAGTTTAGAGTCACATAAATTTGTTATGAGCGATTGAAGTAGGAATAAAATATAGAAATATTGATATGCAATGTACAATCTGTTACATAATATTATTAAATGTTTGAAATATGTTTTGTCATGGTTTAGGCGTCCGACTATAGTGACTGGATTACCGGGATGTATAGTTACTAGAAGCCAGAATGGAGTTAAACGATGGGATGACGTTATTGGTACAATGTTCCATATTTTAATGAAGACATAATTAATATTATAGTAGTATACTATGGAGTCATTTGTCTTATGTTAATTATTCGTAGGCTTTTCGCTATTGTGCAACAGGTTTCTGGTGACATATCAAAGCCCAAGAGACATTGGCAGTCGTGCGGAAACTTATAGCTTGGAAGCTTGAGTGGTTCTGGTGTTTGATCATATACCTACCCCAAACGGAAATTTCGTAAGATCATAAATATAACTGCATAGTACGATCATAAGACGATCGGACATGGTCAGATGATCATACTAAATTTCATAACTTATGTCTTGTAGTAACGTGCCCATTTACATACTTTTTTATGGACGTAAAATATTGTTTTTATTCAATAAACTTAAAAACCTATACTTATATATATAAAAGTTTAATTCCTATCGGAGGAGGAGGACCACGGAAGAGGTGGAAGGACAGTGTTGAGGAAATATTAGAAAAAATTGGAGAAAACTAGGAGCAGGCATATGATAGAGATCGTTGAAAGGAAATAGTTTAGGCGGCCATGAGTCCAAGTGGCTCATAAAGCGTCCGTCCTTGACAGCAATGCTTTTTATTCGATTTATCGTATATGTAAGATTACAGTTTTTGTTTTTTGGTAAATATTGTCTAAGTAATTTGAATATAAAATGCATTTAGTTCGTAACTTTTTATTGTATTTTATATTAGGTACTATCCAGTATGACGGTTTGAAAATACGTAGCTTAATTTTAGTTTATTGCCTATTAATACCACAAACGGTAAACCTATTCACACTGTTCTACGGCATGTTGGTATTGACTCAAAAGTTAATAACTGCATATTAATAACGTATTATGTAACTTAATAATATATAATAAATGCAATGTTTTATCCATAAATAAATTCAACCTACCATATTACTAAATACTAATATTAAAATAAATGGCTATTAGCAATATGAATATATTATAATAAAATAAACTTAGAAAGTTAGAAATAGGCTCACGTGTACCTTCTCCGCTCACAATATTGTTTTTCGTACTTATGCAATAATGCAAGTACCATTGAATTCAAATTTGAGACATAATATCCATTACAGTGCAGACCTATTCGATTTCAGACGAGGCACTCATCTATTATGCAGCAGCTCGAGTTCCCCGATTTTTATTTTTTAAAGTATGATCAATTTCTATTCCAGTATCAGAGTTGTACATGTTCGCTGTGTATTCTAATTATTCTGTTTATCACATTATATTATTTTGAATTCGGTATTTGTCTGACACCGCTATAGTGTATTCTGGCTATAAGACGATTTTTTGAATTCACTGTATTACCATTATAATATATTATTATATAAGTTAGAAATAGGCTCACATGTACCTTCTCCGCTCACAATATTGTTTTTCGTACTTATGCAATAATGTACCATTGAATTCAAATTTGAGACATAATATCCATTACATTGCAGATCTATTCGATTTCAGGCGAGGCACTCATCTACTACCTATGCAGCAGCTCGAGTTCCCCGATTTTTATTTTTTTAAAGTATGATCAATTTCTATTGCAGTATCAGAGGTGTACATGTTCGTTGTGTATTCTAATAATTCTGTTTATCACATTATATTTTGAATTCGGTATTTGTCTGACACCGCTATAGTGTATTTATTGGCTATAAGACGAATTTTTGAATTCACTGTGTTACGATTATAATATATTATTGTATAACAAATATTGTATAATATTATCCGTAGTATAGAATATGATTAATGATTATTATACAGTGGTTGGGTAAAAATAAAAATGAGTGGGTGTTTGAACCGCAGAGTCATAAAAATTACAAAATTGCTAATATCGGTCAGTAGCACGGCGGCGCTCCTGACCGATACGACATCGCTATATAGACACGGACCAGCAGTTATTACATCGAAGTATCCATTTATAATGGACATTCGATAGGTAACGATTATAGTGTACTTATATCGGGGGCGGAGATCTATATGTTTCTAAGGTAAACTATCCATTATAACATACTGTGTTGTTTTCACCGAGCATACCTACATAATATTGGTTGATTAATGAACAAAGGCGAATTCGATTACATTATCTCCTATCTGATGAGACCTGATTTATAAACACGAACACGTTATTAATAACTGCAGTTATATAATACAACAATTTAGGAATATATTTAAACCATTGAAAATCATTATGGCCACATACATATTTCCCTGAAAATATTATACTACAATTAAAATTTAAGTAAATACCGTTGCAAGTTGCAAGTAAGTCGTACTAAATATTGTTACGTACATTTTGGTTTTTCAATATAAACCATTAATTCAGTTTTTTATTTCGTTAAAAATTTAATAGTATTATATTGTTTTTTTAAAGAAGTATATTTTTTTGTGCATCAACCTATTTATGTACTTTTATACATATTATACATATGATATATATTATATATTTATATTATGGCCTTGACATACCTACCGAATTCTCAGCACTTATTTGGTTACATTTATTATTCTTAAATTTATATTTATATATAAAAATTACTGGAAAGTATTGTTGAAAGTAAAAATCCTCCAATACATAAAATTGAATAACATCTTCGTTTGCCTGATCGGAAATTACCTATTATCTGTCAACAAATAATTTTGCAATTCTATAACAAACGGTAGAGTGTAGACGTTATGAAAAATGATAAATAAAATATTATAAATACATTTTAGAAATTGGCGTGATACCTAATTACTACTTTGACAACTTCAAAAATATTAATTGTAATATGATATATAATAATATTATGTTATTTCATTCATATAATAGGTATCACATTTATAACAACGTTCAGGGTGCATCTCGTAACACACAATGTATAATATATATTATACATTATAGTGTACTATGTTATTATACTATGTATACTTATCTCGGAAATATTATAGAATTAAAATAAATGATGTAACAATATAATAGTAATACAATAGTTGAATGATTTATATTATGATGTATACTCAAACGGATTATGTACATTTATATCTCATATTATTATATTACGTATTTGACGTGACTGATACGTTAAACATAAGAATGTCATATGAATAGTAAAACTGCTAATAATGATGATTTCGCAATAATATAATGACAGAAAACTCTATACGTACCTACATAATGTGTAATTTGTGATGAACATGTAATCCAACTGGTAATCCACACTTGACAGTAAATACCATTTAGTAGTCGGATATATCATAAAAATATAAATTGAAAAAAAGTCTCCAAAATACGTCGATCTCACTTTCTGAATTACACACAAGACACACCTATACGGCTATACGTATACTGTACACTTTAAAGTATACATAGCAAACTATTTAAAATAAAAATATATCATATAATATGCACTATTGCACTCGTCATATACATCCTACGACCTACACTGACCAGTGGCCTGCAGACATATCATTATTAAAATATAAGACGTATAACGGTATAATAGTATAGGTAGTGCTGTGTTCCAGATTAAATTATTTATAAATCAGTGAGACTTGGTTAAAAAAAAAACCATATAGTTTGACACATCGCTGTCTCTCTGAAGACCTAAAAATGTGGGTGTAGATATACTTCCTAACAAGCAATAAGGACTGTATATTATTATTATTATACAATTTTACAATAGTACAACTGTACTGAGTTATTTTCTTGGCAAAATAATTTATTTGTGTTTTTTTACTTTAGAATTTTAATTCTTTAACACTACATTTCAGATGAAAAATAGCTTCATTTTTTTTATAGTACATGATGTACCTATGATGTTTTTTATGTGTGTATAAACTATGAAGATACTTTTTATAGTAGATTCGATTTTTGACTTCAATATCTTTTGTAGTAGAAAAATAAATCTAGTAGGTACTTTTAAGGGCGAAAAAAAATCTCAGTTCTAATCTTAATAATTTGGAAAAAAACGTTAAGGAAAAACGGGAAATTGTGCACAAAACCGGTTTTTGACAAATCTTATTTTGTTGTAATTCAAAAACGAATAATCGTATAGATACTTGAAACGAAATGTCTTATTAATATTTTCTATACATCGTTTAACTGACAAAATATTTTGTCAGTTTTTTTTGTCAAAAAGCTTGAAAGTTTAATACAAGCTTCGTCATAATATTATGTTATTATTATAGTTATTTAAAAATATTAAAGATACACTAGTACGATTTTTTTACGAAATAAGATATTCAATTATTCAAACGGAGAAGAACAATTTTAGTTATTTTGTTGTAATTCACAAATTTTTTTGTGGGAATTTGAAACTGTTCCGTAGGTACAGTATTACACAATGACAAAAAAAGTTAAAAACTCAAAATTTGCCACGATAAAACATTCGAAAAAATGATAGTTCTTAAAAAATATTGTGTTATACAATAAATTATAACGATTAATGACTGTATAATATTCAATTGTCGAATATTTTTGAATACACATAGGTTTAACGAGAAAACTGTTACTGTAGTACCTACCTATATAATTATAAACGAATTCGTATACCTATGTGATATTATTATGCGAATGAAATATCGTAATATCACGATGACGTTATACGCCAATTAGATATTATAACATACCTATTAATTATTGATGAAGTAGGTATACGAGTAGTGTACAATATGCGTACAATAATTTAATATACATTATACATATAGGTACACAGATTATGTGGAAATTTCCTATATGGAAAATCTGCCGGAATGTCTGCCATAGTGAAAACCGCGTGGCGGGAAATGCCTTATAAAAGCGACCGGCGATCGCCACTACTGTTATTTTCATTCGCAAGTGTTCGCAATAGCATACTGATGATACTGGCGCAGATAGGCATGCGTTAGTTTTCCGACGTGAATCGTCATACGCTTGACATTAAATTGTAATAATATCGCAGTTAATTTACGCCATTCGCACAGACCTCGCCGCGGTGTATACCTAATACCGTTGGTTGTAATTTTTTCTTCTTCCGTATTTGTGCGCACATTCGTCCGGAAATGGTCAACAAGAGTGTGAGTATTACATCAGGTTTAAGTGATTAATTATTTTGTTTTTAGTTTTCGTACCTAAACGGCATCAATAGGAATCAAATATGTAGGTACATGATACTATAACGACTGAGCGTTGAAAAGCCATGTTTCGCGGTCGTCCCATACTGATGGATACAACATTTTTATCGACTCGATACGCGACCCCGAGCACTGGCTATTTATAATTTTTTACTCGATCCATATCAGTCTCTATTATAGATAATAATATACGTTTGGTAAGATGGGTGCTGTATGTCTGTACCTCAGGGCCGGATTTGACGGAGGGTTTTAACGGCACTTGCCCCGGGCAGCAGATGTTTGGCAGGCATGCATGAATACTATGAAAAAAAAATGGAAAACTTTTTAACTCTCGATTTAAAAAATTTATAAAAAAAAATATCAACTTCAAAAAATAAATATTGATTTATATTTATAGCTGATATACCTAATTTGGGCTGCAAACTTGGGAGGATGACATTGGGGCATCCAGCGAACTATTTAGTATATAGATATAAACGCGTCGTGTGGTTAAAAAGTGGTTATATGATTTATTTTTAAACAGCACGGTGGTAGTGTCTGGAAAACTTGGGTTTGATAAGACGTGGCATGGACTTCTGCTTCTAAAAGCTACTAGATTTTTGTTGACATCATTTTTGACTGTACTATTTTGAGTATAATATACAAATTTTAAAGTATTAAATTTAATTAAACTAATTATAATTTATTATTAATGTAACAGTGTGAAGGTTTCATTTCAAAATGTTATGAGATTAATATACTTATTTGTACTCTTCAAATAATGAAGGCTTAATCAAATTATTATAATATTGCTATGTTAAATTAATTTTTTAATTTGTGATACATGAACAGCGGTATTTCTAACTTGAAATAAAAACGTTTTAGGTGGATAGTTATAACGTGCAAGCTTGTAAATTTAAAATTGTTTACTTAATTATTCTTAGATATTGGATACTTTTGATTTTTTTATTGCAAGGGACCTCAAAAAAAGATTTTCCCCGGGTATCCGAAAGTCTAAGTTCGGCCTTGTTGTATCTATGTGGTAATATTATATTATAATGATGTGTATTCGAGATTCGATAGCGAAAACGGCTATATTTTTTAACACATTATCAATATTATGTTAAATCCATTAATAGGTGTTCTCGGAAAATATCAAAATTGTTGTAGACCATTGAATTAGTTCTTGAGAATGAGGCAATATTAGCTCTGTAGATAAATTTTAATGAACCCGTTTTTAATGAATTTCCCGACAACAGCAATCCACAATATTAAAAACGTATATTATTATTATACAAATTTAGTAAGAAATAACACTTGATAAAAAATTAATAAACACGTGTTTAACTATAACTGTTGAATGCGATATTAAGATATTACATATTAAATACATATTTAATAAGTTGTATAAAAGCTATAACTTTACTTAACTTGTATAATAGTGTCATTACCAATTAATATAATAATTACTATTATCGTGTAAATCAGTGGAACTCAATATTTAATTTGTATTTAACGTCTTGACATTTGCATAATATAGTAAACTGCAATTTATTAATATCCATGAAAATTTTAAATTGCTTATTAAATTGGTCTTGCCAGAGTATTCTTAAATTGTGTTTATAATTTGCTGTAACGATGATACAGGTAATATAAAAGTCTTCAATTTTATAAATATATACATCTACCTAATTTTGATAACAGAGCAAAGCATAATTAAATTAACTTATAATTTTCGTTTGTAGACGTTAATCGAACTACCTACTTCAATAAAATACTGATTATATTGACAACCCATGTGGAACTTTAATATTTTTCTGTTACACCGATCACATTTAATTACTCTTGATAAGTTTTCTCTATTTCAAAATCAATACTTCAAATTCTATTGAATATCAAGTTGAGTATTATAAGCCATAATATCGTATAGAATGGTAATAAACTAAATTTATTACAATATTCTTTCATCAACGTTGTGTTTCAGTTGATATTTACAGTTTATTTTAAACTTCTGGAATTTCTGGAGGACAAACAATATTCAATTGGATACTAATATAGTAATTAGTGATTAGCTAGTAACTTTTGACTTATAATAATATATAAGTTTTGTGTTCCCTCTCTCCCGCCAAGAAACGCAAATAACTATGTGACCATTATATTTTGGTGAAATGTCCATTAGGCATTTTATACTATCACTTCGATACTTATCACAGCAGAATTTTGAATAATCGTCCCTACTGCACAGCTTACAACTATATACACCTAGTGATGTATACGATACACCTATATATATATACTATGTACAGGGTGATCGATTGATGAATAAAAATCATAACAGTTACTGTTTACTTTAAAAAAACAAACAAAAAGGTAGGTACTTAAGTAAATTATCGTCCAATTTTTACAATAACTTACATTTTCATATTTTTGAAATAATATTAGCACATACCTAATATAGTATGGTCTGACCATACTGAACTCCAATACTGCAGAGTTGTGGTTTTCCTTTCGTAAGAGAAACGTGATTTTCAAAATAATGTAAGTGATTCGTGGAGTAACGATAATTGCATTAATATATTAATATTGTATACTCTACAGACTACACAGGACTCATGAGTCCTGACGTCGTAACCAAAACCGTACCAGCTGTAGACAACCTGTAATCAAATTATTCGTACTGCGTATACAGAAAAAATAACTTTTTAACTTATGACGTGCAGAGTGTAATTAATATCATATATTGTCGGTGGCGGATAAAATATAACCTACACAAACCGCTGGCATGGTATCGTTGCTGCAAACATGTTTAACCAACCAAATAAAAAACTACCAGTCGTGCTTGTCGTCATATTTCGACAATAATATTTTGATTCGCTCGTCACTCGTTACATTGGAATATTGTCAATAGAAATAATTTTAGTAGTGTTTTTCCTCTGATAAATTAATCACACACGAGCTTCTTTATTATGGTCGTTTAAATTCTGTTGGGCTTTTCAAATTATTATTTTTTATTAATCGTCATGAGTTTATACGAAAATTGTATTAATGATTCATTATAATTACAACTATAAGAGATTCTAATTTTTGGAGGAGAGAACGAACAATTATGTTTGGACCCCCCCCCCTGAAAAAATAAATAATAAAATCCTGGCTACATGCCTGCATGGTTACTTATTCATATAAGTATATAACGTTCTCCATGGACTAACGCGACACGCTCGGAGCATAAAATATTCATTTTCGATAGTTCACCTACCTATTATACTTGTAGTAAATGTACAGCAAATGTACGTGAATAGAAAAAATATTAGATAATAATAGGTACGATTTAAAAAAAAATTATTGATTCGCGATGTGTCGTTACATCTCGTTTGTGTTGTTGTGAAACGGATTACATTTTAATATTTTATTTATTTCTCTTTATATACCTACTGCACATATTTCACCCACTTATATATTATGTTTTATAAAATATATAAATTATTATACCAATCAAATGTGTCGAAATCGTCGGTTATCTAATACACTATAGATTTCCTCCATTATTGAGATACCGGAATCGATTTTCCATATACCATGTATTATGTTTCCCATTATTTATTCTAAATCTAATTCATTTTATTACAACAGTATAGCACATAAACGCTATTAAATTATTTCCTATATACCAACACGAAACAAAACAGATTTCACAATGGTACAACGTAACGTTTTTTGAACGAAAACTGTAGCATCGTATTGACGAACAGACGGAAAATCGGTTCTATACAAATAATAATAAACATTTAGCTTCACTCACAGAAATAATATAATTTAAGTTATGTAATACATTCACCGTAATCATATCTGTTTCAGGTTTTCGTTATAATTTCACTGCTCACAGTGATATTTGTTTCCTTGACATCGGCGCATACGATACAGTAAGAAAATATAATTATATTTAATTACCTACGATTTTAGTTTTAAAGAATAAAATAATATGTTACTTTTGGGTTCTATGTTTACAAACTGTGATATAAACTTGTATATAACAACATGTTGTTGCTGTAATTTCGAACTGTGTAAAAAAAAATACAGTTACCTATATAGGTACCTAGTAGAATTTAATTTCACATAGGAATATGTGTGTAGACACTTATAATATATAATATATTGTGTTATATTTTCAATTTTAAATGGTTATTATTTAGTACGTATTATGTTTAACTTCAAGCAATAGTTGAACATACTTAATATTATTATTTAATATTTTTTCAAAAACTAATTAGGTAGGAATCTAATTACTCGATCACGTAAAACGGCTTTCCGCTCTTTATGATGAAATTGAAAATAATTAATTTAAAAAAAAAAAATAATAAAATTAATTGTACGAATGTAACGAACAGGCTAAAAAAATGATAATTTGTAGGTATACAGTTACAGTAAAAAAAAAAAACCCGTGTGGGCATTCCGTACTTTGCATTATATATTGTACAAAAATGAGCGCTGATTGGTCACACGTTGGTCGTGTGTATTACGACATTGTTTTCTAATGGTGTATCCTCTACACGATGATTAATTTGATACGAAAATATACGCTTGTGACAAAATATTATATGTCTTACGTCAAACGGATCGTTCGCAAACCATTCACACGACACTTGGCAAGTGTCGAAATATGTCCATTTAGCGAGATTTCCTTTTGCAAGAAAATTAGCCTCGTTGTTATATTTACCGTATAATATAGACTCGATCGGAGCATAATATTATGTGGTCGGAATCATATTATTTATTTTCGTCCAATTACTGCAGTATTGAATATGTAATCGATGTTCATGAAAAAGTCCTTCAAAATTATTATTCCTGTACGTACATTTTCTATACAGTTGCAGTTCGTAACGATTTTAAAAATTACCTATTGTGTTTATTTTCTTACCGTAAAAATAAATAACATTTTGCAATTTTTTATACAATATCATTGCCACCTTGCAGACGATACGTCTGGCACGACGGCGTGCAAGTGTACAACACGCGATATAACTATATGTTATATTTATGATGCTGAATTTGTACAAAAATATTCAAGTGACTAAAAATCACATACCTAATATTAATGGTGCGATTTTTATAAACTATTATTGAATTATGTATAATACGTTATTTTTTATCGATCGAAATGAAATCAATTTAACTCAATCGTATTTATTTATATACGAAACAAAATATTTACTAAAATCGAACGAATTAAAAATATATAATATATACTGAGATAATATGACCCAACGAAATGTCACTTATCGTGATTAAAAATATTACGTACTGATCGCAATTTTAATCACCTGTATGTATTATACAATAACTGGGCGATCCACTGATCTCAGATTTATATTGACGTACCATAATATTATAAAAACTTTACTATCTCGTTACAAAATAGTGAAAACATGCCCTGCAGTGATTCAATTAAACTGCAGTTACAAATATGTTTGTGATCATCGAATATTTCAGTCAATATAATATTATAAGTGCAAAAACAAGAAATAAATCACATTATGTGTCAATAATCCGTTACATAAACAATCGTGTTAATTGTATTATTAGGTACATAGGTATTATGCATTTTTTATAATTTTTTTGTCTCAAATAAAATCTTAAAATAGAAATCTTTTAATGAAAATGGTACACGAATATAAAATTGTTAAAGTTATATATTGTATTGTATATATGTATTGTATACACATTATACCTATTATGAATTTTCCATCTCTAAATTCTTAAATTGTGCACGAAAAACGTCTTTTCCGGTACAGGTGTTAGGTATTAATTGAATAATATTTTTATTTTTTTAACTCATAAAGTGTAACTTATGAATGGTTTATTATACAAAAATTAATTAAAATTTTAAAATTTTTATTTCTCATTTCCAATATTCGTATCAATTTCTTACTATACCTAGCGTCCTGCTGTATACAAACTGACTATAGTTATATATTGACATATTATATACATAATATGATATGAACTGTACATTTTTAACTTCTTTTACTTTTTTGGTTTAATTTTTTAATATAATTATAAAATAACTATACATATACACGAATTATATATTTATGCAAAAAATAATTTTCAATATTCTTTGATACAAAAATTATATGATTAAATAAAATAATTACATTAGTTAGTTTTATCTGTTAAACCATGTACATACTTATCTATAATATTGAAGTATATAATAGTAATTATAAAACTTAAAAAATACCAATTCGATTTTTATCTTTTAAGTAATGAATATTATTTTTTTTTTCAGAGATTTAGTTAGTGCAATAATAGTCCAGATTTGTATGCATTTTTATTTATATTATTTTAAAGTATGCAGTTAGACAGGAGAACAAATTTTGGAGATTTGTTTTTATAGATAATGTATGGGAAAGTGTTAACGGTGCATATGCAATATGCATATCATATTATAGTAATAACGGAAAATTAGAAGAACTTTGCATATCTAAGAATATTTTAAAGAAAAGTAATTTTTAAATTCTGAATAAAATAAAATCTTCTTAAATAATGTATGTTAAAAATTGTGTGTATTCATGATTCATTAATCTATATACTCAGTGAATTTGTTTAGATATTTACTATACGAAGAAAGACTTCTGTAACCCATACAAATATTTTCTTTTTTTATGATTGGTAGGTAGGTCCTTTAATTGTCAAATAATATCTATGATCAAAAATTTAATTTATACCAAAAACCAATATTCCGTTTTTATTATTTGTCAAAGAAACTGTATTCAGTATTTTAGCATATTTCATAAAAGTTTAAACTTTTAAAGAGAATATTAGGTACATATCTCTTTTAAGGATTTTTTATGAATAAACCAATATTATTTTAAGCCTTGTAGTTCAAACAAATCCGGACTTTATTTAAAATAAATGTATTATTACATTTTATTTTAATGCTGCATAATTCATCGTTTTATTATATTTTCTATTGACTTGTATTGTTCAATAATATTTATGAAGCTCTTAGCCCACCTGAGGTCAATTGAAAATATATTCTATTATTTCATATTTTATTATCAATTACTATGTAAAATTTAATTTTCATATTTTCATTATCGTATATAAAATATAAATTGTACGTAATGTACCGAATGTATACTTAACATCAACACTTATTTTATGTTATTAATTTATTTGTTAACGCTATAATCTTAGGATTTGGTTTTGTAACAATAATTTAAAATTTGTAATAGTAATAATAATAATATTTACGAACTATTTGGCTTGGTCGATAACTTGAAAATTAGAATTACGTAAAATATCTGAATTAAAGTGTTTCAAATTATGTATATTAATTGTATTTATTTATTCTCAATACAATATTATTACATTTTGTTTACAGTGAAAAACATGTCATTCACGTTCCTCTTTTGGTGCATTACGTCCATCATCATCATCATCGAAAAATTATAAAACCAATCAGACACAAAAAAGTGAAAACTAGAAAATTTGTACATCGATACCATAGTTACTGGTATTGATGGTACCTAACTAAACGAAACGCAATGTACAATACACACTGAACGGTATATTATTAAACAAAACAAATTACCAAATATTTGACTAAATTCGTATATGATTATATTTTGTCGATGATTGTTACTGATAAGTTAAGTATGCACGTAATACTCTTAGTGTAATATTATAATGCACACAAAAATATAGTAAAATAATTTATATTGTATACATGCATTCATGAACTAAGCACACATAATTTACATAATATTGTAAATAATTGAATGATACGTCAAATCTAATAATGTGCTTAACTTAATACATAATATTTGTTGTTATAGTATATACGTATGCCGTATAATAAGGTATTTAAAATTATCCATTTTTTTTTTTATGAGTTAAAGTTACCAAATGTATACATTTAAAATGTGTTTAATAATAGGTACATTAATTTTTTGTTTAACTTTATGAGTACAAGAATGTGAACTGATTGATCGATTTCAAATGTAATAAATTACAATGTTGTATATTAATTGATACATTAATAGTAGCTAATGTATAGTTTCTATTAAATAATTATTTGGCCAAATTTGTTGTATATTATAAATTCCTATTCCACAGTCCACACACAATTTCGACTAAACAGATGACAGGTACATTTTGTTATTTGTTACGCTAAATAATAATATATCCACCGATATTAGTGATATAGGACAACCAATAACGATAATACATTTTATAAACTAAGACTTAAAAACGTATCTAAGCAACTAAAGTTTTGTTATTGTTGTTTAAAATTACAAAACTTTAAGTTGTGTAATATTAATAATAACAATACTGCACGCAGCACGCTTCAGTAAATTTCATTATATCTATATGTATGTAACGATGATCACAAAACAGAAGTTTCTGAAAAGTAAAATAACCACTGACATGGTAATAACCTTCGAAATGTTGACCGTTCAAACCATATATTATAATATTAATTACGTAGTACAACATTATAAAGTGTGTAATAGTTTGCTTATAGGTACATCCAATGTAGAGCAAACCTATGAAATATGAATAATTTAAATATTCTTAAAAATTGTGATTATTCTGTATATTACTTATTTAAATAAACACGTTTGTATCTTTATATTGTTATAAATTATTATGCTCTACTCAGATACTCTAATGATAAAGACATAAGAAACAATTATGAAGCTTTTGAAGGTTTGATTTAATAATGTTAGACTATCTTATCGTGGAAAAAAATGTGTAATATTTTTCAAATAAATATAATACGTTGTGATGTATTTTAAATAATGGTTGTTGTAACCTTCATTGAATATTTTCGATAGATACCTATAAATTATAATATTATTACTTATTAGTTATTACTTTATTAGGTACCTATAACCTATATTATATTAGAATCTGAGTGAAGCGAAGAATGTATTGGTTTTACAATAATGTGTTTCTTTTGTTTGTGTGTCTATATCATCATTCATCACCAGTCAATAAATGCTTCAATTTTTTATTTTTGAGCTCTTTGATAGAATTTTTTGGTAGCAAATTGGATCTAGTCGGTACTTTAGGAACTGGGGAGACTTGGGTAGAAAATGCCAGTACTTAATAAAATAATTGAGAAAAACTAATATGGAATAACGAGAATACCAGTTTTGGACGAAATCGATTTTTTTATTTTGTTATAGTTCAAAATACCATAGAAACCAAATTTTCACCAAAATACGAATTTATACGTATATAATATAATATATACTGGCATTTTTAGACATAATATGACTTTTAAATATTTTGGCTCTTTTTATGTTTTTTAAATTTATTTTAAATTTTTGACTTTTTTAAATATATATTTTTTAGAAGTGTTGATAAAAATGTTGGATATGTCAAAATCATCAACAACCATATAACACCTATAAGATTCGATGAAATTTTTTTTTTCAGAAATTTAAAAATATTGAAAATACGTAGGCACAATATTTTTAGAAGTATTTTAAATTCAAATGTCAACACAATTTTCAATTTTAATAACTAATTAGCTTACAAAGACATATAATCTTATAATCTTATAATCTTTTCTCATAAAAAATCTAATAAAATAAATGTCCTATTTAATATATTATGCGATTTGTGTTTGGCAAAAATTGATTCTAACTGCAGTACCTATTACTAATAGAAAACAATTATTAATAATAGCAAAATAAATACAGTCGGATTTCGATAACTCGGACCTCGATAACTGGAAAACCTCGATAACTTGAATTTTTCTTTGCCCCTTGGCCCTTGAGGTGTTTTATGTATAGATACATGTATAATTCGAAAATTACAGGCAATTAATTTATTTTTATTCCCCTTGAGATTCAAGTTATCGAGACTCGACCGTATATAATATAAATATATACTTAGATATATTAACAGGCCGTTTTTAGTGTGTGATAACTTAACGTTGAATTCAAATTTACTAAATCCATTACAACACCTTATATACAACAGAGTGATTTCCAAGGTTTTTTTAAGTTTAATTTTTATAGAAATTAGTAGTCGATAAGATTTAAAATTCAACACACTGTTCCTTATAAGTTCTATAAGTAGCAACTACAACTAGTTAAAAATATCAAAAACACATTAACACAATTCTTTGGACAAATTTAAAAATTTAATTAAATTAAATTTTTTTATGAAATTGGCTACATATCAAAACAAAATATATTGCTTATAATAAAAATTGTGAAATTTCAGTTTTAGTGGACATTTACAAGTTGGTGCTGGTTTAATTCACTTTGTTTACAAATCCGATCGAGTTGGTCATCCTACTGAGTCGCAGTGAAGTGAATACACTGTTTGGTGTATCTATTTTGGTTTAAGTTATTACACTCAATTTTGATAGTGAATATCTTGCAGTTATTAAATTTCATGAGCAATTCTGTTTATGTGTACCTACCAACCAAATGTTCCGCCTGGGAAAACAAACAACAATTTTAATTACGATCAAGTGTGTTGAAAAAAAAGTAAAAAGTAAGAAAGTAATAAAAATAAAAAATATGATGTAAAAACCAGTTGGATGCACGGGTGTACTCTTATTTCATCTCTCAATTGTCCTCCAAGATTAGGAGTTGAGTCTATGAAACTACGCTTAAAATTTTGCTGAAGAATTACCCTATCTATTCAAACGGCATTTCAAATAATTGTTAAAATAATATTTTCAAAGCTCGTTATTTAAAAATTAAAATATGTAGGTTATAGGTAGGTATATTAATATAATTAATAACTAACGAAAAAATCGAATTTATAAGGCTGAATTATTAAAAAATTATTTAAATATTAATACTACTGCAGGTTCATAAAAATAATATTTCTTAGCCAACCAGATAATTAATTTTTAGTAAATTAGATGTTAACATTGAAATATTATAGTGCATAGATATTATATATTCAATATTAGCATAAACAACTATTATACAACTATTAAATGCTGTTACGTAAATATATTTACGTTAAGTTTGATGAATATACCATCGTTTTTAAAATCCCACAGTAATATAAATTATTAGAGTTATTTTATCTTCTTCAGATATACCGCATATACGTAACTATTGTCTATTACTATTTAAAATTGGCAATTACTCATTCATTTCACTTTTCGTTTTTGAAATAACACTACGCTTTTAGTTTTTAAAATTTTATTATTGTGACATTGTGTGAGTAAAAAATATTTTGGCGAAACTCCAATCATATTTCATATTATATCGAAATATGTTCATTAATATAAAATTGTAATCATAAAATATTTCAAAATAAATAATTCATATGAAATACTTATGGAGTTGTGGCACATGAAACAAGAATATGTCTAGTTAAGTGAAAATTTTACTATTAAACTATAGGATATTTAATAGTTAAGACTTAAAATCAAATGTACCTAATAAAAGTATATTATACATTATACATTACTGTTTATAAAACGTGAATATAATTTTAATTTTTTTTATAAAATAATCTGTTTATAATATCTAAACATAGGTTTAACTATCCAATTAAAATTCAACACCAAAACTAAGTGATAACAATTCCACTGAATTTAAATAATTTTATATTTAATGTAATGGCATCAGCATCAGTCCCCAAAGGTGGTACTGTGAGCAAGTAACTTTTTAATTTAATCACACAAAAAGAAATATTAGTCAATTAAAAATTAATACCAATCAAAATTTAAGTACCTAAAAGTTTTAATTTTTCCTTAGCATTAGTACCTATTAATAACTCAATCACCATGACAAACACATACTAACTAGAGCAATTTTTTTCTAATTTATTTCAAGTACTTTCCCAAATCACAGTACACAAAATAATATACTTTACACAAGATGTGTACATTTTAAATTTCTATATTATATTTTGAATTTATATACTACCTACTAAGCGAACTTTATGTGGGGGGAGGGGGTGTATTACCTATAATGTTTAGAATACACAACATAATATATTCTAAAAATGTAACTAAAAAAAATTACGGAGGCAGGTTAAACGAAATTCTGAGGGAGCACTAACCTAACCAACATTCACTATATTTATAGCTGTAATATTAAATACAATATTACCATCACAACATAATATAAATCATAACTAAATAATATCCTAACCCAAACAATAACGGATTGTTCAAATTGTACAACTTATATGGTGTATACCTATCAATGACAATATTTTGATTCGAACCCTCTAATGTTAAATAATTGAACTAAGTAAATGCGAAAAGATGTTCGATATTTGCTGGTGGAAGTGTTAACAAAGTTCACGGAATAGTGTATTGTGTTAAAGTTTTTGTGTAACAATATTCTCATTTCATGTGTGTCTAATTATTTATTAGACGTAACTATGTATTGCGATATCAACACTGGACGAGAACATGGTGTTTATTTTTTCTCAGTTAAATCTTCAGCTTGTAATTAGTATTATGTAAAATTACCATTTATCATACGAAAGTGTCGAATGGACGTATTGTACACAATTTATAATACCG